GAATACCACCTGCCAGGCAAGGGTAAACCAGACAGTCCACTAGTGCCTGCCAGCTGCTCTGTGTCAACAGCTGGAGGAAGCTGTGCTCAGGAATAGTTTATGTCCATCGTCGCTGAATGATGTCGTTCTCATTATTTTTTTTCAGAGCTGTATAGATCTTATTTCTATGGTGATGTTGCTCAACATTCAAGTAATATGAGCATGTCTGCTGCAAGGAAATCTGAGACTAAAGGTAAAGGAGATGCTATAATACAGATGTGTGAATTAAAATATACCTTTCTTGCCCAGCATTGGTGGCGCACACCTTTAATCCCAGCACTTGGGAGGCAGAGGCAGGTGAATCTCTGTGAGTTCGAGGCCAGCCTGGGTAACAGAGCGAGATCCAGGACAAGCACCAAAACTACACAGAGAAACCTTGTCTCAAAAAACCAAATGTGTGTGGTTGTGTATATATATATATACCAGTGTGGAGTGCTTTCTGTTTCTGTAAAATAATAGGATCCTGTGCACTGACCCACCTTACCTCTAACCAAGGTGAATTGCACCTTTGGTATGCTGCATGTTTTTGCAAAATGGAAAACCACCACACTTAATGTACAGTTTCTCTTTACATAGCCCCTAGATTTCTGTTGTTGCAACTAGAACCTACAGTACTATCAATGTCATAACACACTTTATTCTCCTACTTTATGCAGTAGAGCACACGAGTGGGGATGGCTGGATTAAGAACATGTATGCCTTTAATTTTTTTAAGTACTAACAAATATTTTGCAGACTTCCTGTAATTAATAGTTGTAGCAACAAAAGTATCAGAAACTATTTTCCAGTGCCAAAGCCAATACTAGACTCTTCATTTAGTAGTGTGTTATTTAATCTCCGTGTGTGTCTGTAGTTTCTCTTGCTGTTCATGCCTGGCTTTATTCTATCATGGTCAGATAGAATACAGCATGGTATCTCAACTTTTTCTAAATCTGTCAAGACTTACTTTGTTTTCTAACGAGTTGATAATTCTGGGGAAAACTTTATGGTCTGATTACAACAATGTGTATTCTTTACAACAACGTGTATTCTTCAGAGTTTTGGCAAAATAGCCTCTAGATGTCTGTTAGGTCCATTTAATTTATGATGTCACGTCTCTACTGTTTCTCAGGATTCTGTCCAGATGGCATGCCTGATGGTGTGAGTAGATGTTGAAATGACTCACTATTACTCACTATTACACACACTATTATGTGTGGGGTTAATCTGTTATTTTACATAGAGTGTACTTGTTTTATGAAGCTACGCTTGCATTTGTTGTATTTGTGTTCAGAATTGCAAAATCCTCTTGGTGGGTTGTTCCCTTAATGGGTATGAAGTGGCTTCTCTAGTCCTTCTGAGTACTTTGGGTTTGAAATCTGTGTTTCCTGATATTAGAATAGCTATGCCAGCTTATTTCCTAAATCCATACTCTTAGAATAACATTTTCTATCCTTTAATCTGAGATGATGTCTATATTTGATGGTGAGGTCTGTTTCTAGGAGGAAGCAAAGGTGTAGCCTGAGCTCTGATCCACACTGCTCATCTATGTCTTTTTATTTGGTCATTTAGACCATTAATATTCTGAATTATTATTGAAACAAGCATATTATTTATCATATTTTCTTGGTTTATGGTATTTTCTTATTTTTTAATATTTGGTTTTATTGTTTGTATGTCAGTGGGGGTTAAGATGCCCTGGGAATGTAGTTACAGATGGTTATGAGCTTTCTGACATAAGTGCTGGGAACTGAACTTGAGTCCTCTGGAAAAGCAATAAATGCTCAGAAACCCTGAGTCATCTGACCAACCCTTTAGATCTTTATGTTTTTATTTACTGTCCTGATATCATTTATCTCACCATATGCCATGGTCACTTGAGTTCATTTATCTTTTTCTTAACTCAAATTATTTGTTTCCAGTGTCTTCTGTAGAGCTGGCTAGTGGCCATAAATTCCTTTTATCTGTTTTAGCCTTGGAAAGCTTTTTTTTCTCATTCAATTAAGAGATAATTTTGCTATATAAAATTGGTTTCGTAATTGTGGTCTTTCAGAACTTGGAATGGATCTTTGCAAGTTTTTCTCCTTTTGACAGTTGCTATTAAATATGTTATTATGATTGGCCTGCTTTCATATGCGACTTGTCTCCTCCCTTGTAGCTTTAAATACCCTCTCTTCAGTCTGTGTTTTTAGGATTTTAGTGATAACATGTCAAGAAGAGTTTCTGTTCTGGTCCTATTTGACAGTCTGGGTGCCTCTTGTACCTCTCTCAAGATTTAGGGAGTTTTCTTAGAGGATTTTATCGAAAGTGTTTTCTATGCCTCTGACATAAATGTTTCTCTTTTTTCTACACCCATAGTTTTCAGATAGTTCTTTTCATGGTATCCCAAAGCTCTCAAAATTTTCAATTTAGTGTTGACCTTCACTGAGTAATCCTATACTTCTACATGACCTTCATGCCACTGCAGTGTGTTGTCCACATATCCACTATTAGTTAGGCCCTCTACTCAGCTTTTTGTCTGGTTTATTGAATGTTTTATGCCAGCATCATTTGAGTTTGGCTTTCTTCAGCAAATTCCTTATCTTTTTAAAGTATTTTTATTTAGTTTTGGTTTTTGTTTATGAATATTTTGCCTGAAGGTATATCTGTGTGCCCCATGCATGCCTGGTGCCTGTGGAGGTCAGAAGAGGGCATCAGATCCCCTGAAACTGGAGTTACAGGTGGGTGTGAGCCACCACGTGGGTTCTGGGAATTGAACCTTGGTTCTCTGCAAGAGCAGCTGGTGCTCTTAACCACTGAGCCATCTCTCCAGTGCTACAGTTCTATGTCCTACATTGAATGGCTTCCTTACTTCATTCAGCTGTTTTTGGTTTCTTGGAGAACATTCATGTTGTCTTTGACTTTTTGAGCATATTTGTAAGTGTTCTCTTGGATTCTTTCTCTGAAAGTTCTAAATTGCTTTGCTTTAATTTGGGATGTGAGATCAGTAATTTTTTGAGGAGATGAATGTCATTCTTTTGTGGGGATTTTTGACTTCTGTATGATACTTTTGTATCTTGGATTAGTTTGTTGGTTGATGTTTCTTCGTTTGTGTAAAAGAGTACTCTCTTCCATCCTCAGTTTCTTTCTGCCAATATCCAAACCTGTGGGCTGCTCAACAAGATAGCCAATCTCATGGGCACACTATGTCCTATGATTCCCATGAGTAGATATGTGTGTATATGAAAGGTTGTGGCTCTGTGCAGTATGGTATACTATGCATCCTACTTGCCTTGACACAGGTAAATGGATAGACTTCCTTCATCCCTCACACCTTCAAAATAGAAATATATTCTCTAAAAGGAGAATGTGCATTAACTTATTGAACAATTGCTTCTTACAATGCCATGTGTTTATTTCTGTGTGTATAACTCTTCAGTGTTTATTTCAAGGGTCAATAATCAGTGCTTCAATAAATTTCATCTGCCATTGTCTCATTTCCACTTACATTTCTATAAAGTAGAGTATGTGCATGATTTGTGGGGGAAAGACATAGATGTTTTTACTTTTAATTCATATTGACAAGTAATTTATTTTATAATTATAGTTAATATAGTTCTGCCAGAAAATAAATGAAAATCCTCATTCTAAGGATCTTATCTAGAAACAGACTTTTATGAAATGAAAACGCAAATGTTAATTTATATTGTTAAATATATATACTACAGAAAGGAGTCAAAATTCTATAATTCCAAAGGTATTTTGCAGAGATAGAAAGCCCATTAGACCATAATAGTCTAGATAATCATGAAAAGGAACAAAATGAGTACTTCATAACTCAAAACTAACAACCTACAGCAATGACAGCACTATGGTTCTGACATGCACAAAAGATCCAAAAACCGAACTCTAACCTGCATGTTTGATGATACAAAGAACACATAGTAAAGAAGGGTTAGTCTACCTCACAAGGTACAGGAGAAATTGGATATCACCAAGCAGAAGCAAGAAAGGAGTCTGCATAGTAAACTGTTTTCAAAACATAAGTCAATATGAAGATAGAACTTTAAAAATAAGAGATAAAATGCAAAAGCATAGAAAAAAACATAGGCCAAAACCTACATGATGCTCATTTTGACAATATGCTTTTCATTAACATCAAAAACACAGGTAAATATAGGCAAATTGAGTTCATCAGAATTAAAAATTGGGCACATCAAGAAAGATATGATTTTGTACAAGTAGTTTAAAAGAGTAAATAATATAGGACCATGTCAATGGAGTAAAATGGCTATCCACAGAAAGGGAGCATATTTCCATGTGTGTGTCCTATAAAGAATTATTTTACAAAGTTATATTAATGGAGGTCTGAAGACCAACCACAAGAAAACTCATAAAAACAGTATCAAGTACTCTTACAGAGACTCTTCCTGAGACGGTATTACAGATATCAACAGGAACATAGAAAAATGATGGAGATATCACTGTTCATTAGGAAAATTCAACCCAAAACTACAGTAAGAAATACACTTCACACCCATTGGATGGCATTGCCAAGAAAGGATACAGAGGGGTTAGAAGTGGCAGAAAAAGATGGCTGGGCCGGATATTACATACCGGTCATGCTAGCTACCTGGAAACTCATGCAGGAAAAACCACAAGTTCAAGGACAGCTGTGGCAACAGAGAGAGTTCAAGGCTAGCCTGCGCACGAGGCTCTGTCTCAGAATAAGGAAGCAGAATGTGGAGGGTGGCTGTAGCTCAGGTGCAGAGAACTCAACCAGCATATGGAGAGACCTGTGTCCAGTCCCCAATGCCACAAAAAGTCAAGGGGAATGGATAGGAAGGGGGAGGAAAAGAAAGAACAAAGAAAACAAACAACTGCAACAGAATGTCTCCAAGGACTCCAAGAAATCGGAAGCAGAGGCACACCCAGTCCTGGCTGGGTGACAGGCTTGACAGGCTTCCCTTGACTGCCCTGCCATGTACATCATGGGTTTCCTCTTAGTCTAAGTGACCTGATCTACATTTTTACTCTCTGATTAGAGAAAAAGGATAATAGAAAGGTGAGCTTTTGTTTAATGCTTATTTGGCTAGTTTGTGTGTATGAATAATTTGCCCACATGCATGTATGTGCACCAATTGCCTGCCTGTTTGATAAACTGAAACTAGGGTTGTGGATGGTATTGAACCACCATGTGGGTGCTGGAAATCAAGCTCAGGTCCTCTGTACAAGTCACAAGTGCTCCCAACTACTGAGTCATCTCTCCAGCCTGGACTATGAAATTATTGTTCTTTGAAATTTCATATACAGATGTCTTAGTTATGGTTTCTATGGCTGTGAAGAGACACCATGACCACAGCAACTCTTATAAAGGAAAACATTTAACTGGGGCTGGTTTATAGTTTCCAAGGTTTAGTCCATTATCATCATGGTGGGAAGCATGGCAGTATACAGACAGACATGGTGCTGTAGAAGGAGCTGAGAGTTCTACATCTGGATCTGCAGGCAGCAGAAGGAGACCGAGTCCCACACTGGGTGTAGCTTGAGCATATAAGACCTCAAACCCCACCCCCCACCACAGTGACACACTTCCATAACAAGGCCACACCTACTCCAGCAAGGCCACACCTCCAAATTGTGCCACTCTCTATATGCCAATCATTCAAACACATGAGTCTCTGAGGGCCATACCTATTCAAACTAGCACAAGTATACAAATTATCTTGTTCATATCCACCTATAGTCCCCACTCCAAATTCCCAGAATGTTACTTTCTATTTTAAAAGAGAAACAAAGAACAACTTATACACAGAATAAAATATTCTGAATTTTTTATTTGTCATTCCTGATTTTCATTATTGTTCTACGATTTTCCAGCATTCTCTCTATGACATTTGTGTATAGCATTCCAACTGTTATTTGATACAGGAGTGCTACATACAACAGTGCCATTCACTCTCTAAGTGCAGGCAGACTGGCAGGAAGATACCCATCTACCTGCCTCAGCCTCCCAAGTACTCAGAATGCAGGTGTTCGAAACCTCTCCAAGCTTCAGTTTTTCTTTGCCTCGATGCATAGCCTTACAATGCACTTTTATGCATTCCCAGCCGCCAGGCAAGGCAAAATATGACAAAATTTATTAGTGCTTGTTGAACTGCTCCACTTCAGAAATTACAACATTTAAATACCACTGCATGAAATTGTTTTCATCTTTCAAAGACATTTAAACTTACAAATTTAGCCAAAAAAGACGATGGAGCTGCAGATAATCTGCAGATGTCAAATTTGGCTGCTACACTGAGTGCCCTAAAAGGTAAAAGAGTCATTGCCATAAAGATGTATGAAACAAACCTCTGTACTTTTCCGGTTTTCTATTTACCACCATCTTCAACTACTGGACTCTTTGAACACACAGCCAATATTGTGAGTGCACTACTTGTTTCTGTGCTTTTTCTGTAAATAGACACCCGTGTAGAAGGCTTTGTAGTTTTGCACAGTGATAGAATCCTGTGCCTACAACCTCATTACATCTGGCCCATTTAAATTGATAGGTTTCTTCATTTCTCACACCTTGAACATTCTGCAAGATGTTCCAAAGTATGAATGTACCACACTTAGTAGTTCCTTTCTGAATCTCCTTTACATTTATGACCTTGTGACTACAATCAACAGTGTGACCAAAACCATTGCACATGTTTTATCATGTTACTTTACATCTGTTAAGTAGAGCGTGTGAGTGGTGGAATTATTGACTGAGGGCACATAAGATTTTAATTCAATGCATTCTGTAAGTGGGGTATTTATATATTCCTTCTCGAATGCTTATAGTTAAGTAAGTTATAGCAGTAATTGCTTGAGAAAACTGTTTCCTGGTTCTTGGCACCAGACGTTTTATGGATTGAAAACATGATGGAATTATACGAATACATTGGCAATAGCACAGAAAATGGCATAGAGTGACTCTGGGGAAATCCCTAGAATCCCAAAGATAGGCTGGAGAACTAGGAGAGCCCATTTTAGGGGCTGCAGAGATGGCCCGGCAGTTAAAGGGATGCTATACAAGGAAGAGGACTAGCATCCGGGTCAAACGTGTAAAATTCAGGATGCCCACAATCACCTACCTCTAATGACTAGACCTCTCTGGCAAACGACTAAAATGGGCTCTCTGTATCATCCTAACCAAATGGTCCAAGAAACATTGAAAAGAAATGACAGAAAGAATCTATGAGAGGGAAGATGGGGATCAGGAAGATATGTCCTTGCTGGGGCAACCATGAACATGCAGCAGCTGTGGATAGCAGCCAGGACTGGGCCTTTCAGCTGTCCCTCAAGAATAAAGGTGTTCCCAATGGGGTCCCATCCTTTCTGAGGATCAGGCATTGATTTACTAGACTTTCCATTTAACCACAGTCCAAACACATACACTATGGCATTTCTTAGCTCCCTTCCTTCTTGCACTTTATGTCAACTACCATTTGTTAACAGCAACAACAAAAAAGGATGTATCGAGAGATTAAACTAGATCCGAAAATTTGTACTTTAGTCACTCAAAGATTCATATACTGTCATATTGTGTCATTCAAGTTCTTTCTTTGTATAACATTTGTGTATGACATTTCCATCTGTTATTTGAGATAAAGATGCTGCATATAGCAGGACTAGAGTCACACTTAGTGTGTCGCAGACCAGCAACAATCTCCATGCCTTGGCCTCCCTAATACTGCATTACAATACCTCCCCCAGCTCTGTTCTTCTTTTTTTCTGACAAGTACTTGGATGATGAACTTCAGTAAAATGTCAGATAAGAGGCAAGGCTGATCGGACAGTCTTCTCATGTTTATTTACTGTGTGCCTGAATGCTGAACGGGAGTTGTGCTTCATAGCTGATGTATTTTTAGAACCACTTAATGATGTTGTTCTCATTTTTCAGAGCCAACTAAACCCAGTGACTTAGACAAGAGTGCTGTTGATATTCTGCACATGTCAAACTCAGCTTTATTACAATATTTTAAAGGTAAAAAATCCACTGTCAAACAGAAATGTGAAACAGAATTCTGTTGTTTTCCCACTGGTTCTATATACCAGTATTTTCAACCTCTGGGCCCTTCAAACATACAGTGAATATTGTGAGCACAGAATGTGTTCCAGTATTTCTCCTATAAATAGACACGTACATGGAGAGCTCTGTGGTTCTGCACAGTAACAGGGTCATATGTATGGAGTCCCCCTTATCGCTAACCCAGGTAAATTGATACGTTTCTTTCACTTCTCACATCCTTAATATTCAGCAAGACATTATGAAGTAAGAATATTTGATAGTTCTTTAATAATTCCTTTTTAAATCACCTTTACATTTCTACAGTCAACGGTGCACTCTACATTGTTACACATTTTTCTTCTGCCACTTTGTGACTATACAGTAGAGAGTGTGAGTGTAGAGTGTGTGAGTGGAGCAGTTGGATTCGGGACCTGGGTTCAATAGATTCTGTACAGAATATATATCCATTCTAGAATGGTTGTAGTTAATATTTGTGGCAATAATTGAATGAGAAAACTGTTTCCTGATTCTTAGCACTAGGCATTTTAGGGATACAAAATATCATCAAGATTAAATTATACTGGTCAGTTAACAGTAGAACAGAAAGTGACCCACAGATTCGGAGAAAATCCCTAGAATCCTAGTTATGGTGCAGAGCTAGAGAACTCTATGTTGAGGGCCGCAGAGATGGCTCTGTAGTTAAACCGCTTACAATGCAAGAAAGAGTAACAGAATTTAAACCCCAAAACCCTTGTAAAATTCAACATAAACCGTGGCCAACTGTAATCCCACGTTGCAGGGCAGAGACTGGCTCTGAGTTTGATCAATAGACACAATAGCCTCAATGAACAAGATGAAGGAACAAAGAAAGAAGAGTCTCTGCGAACACCTCAGGCACAAGTGTGCACAAACACCTGCATGAAAACCCATGAGAATATACATACGCATTGCACACACATACACATACAAAAAGAGAACAAAAAGTCCATTTCAAAATCATGTCAAATCTTGAAAGAATGTCAAAGCCAAAAGAGTACACCAAATCATTGTCCAGTTGCCCAACAATCAGTCCTAAAAACATACATATAGATGGCATTACCGGACTGGACAGGTCATATTTGGAAATATATATGTATGTGCATATACATGTATGCATGCAATAACAGTGAAAAAGGAAGCCTTGAATGTGAGGGAGAGCAGGGTGGCGTATATGGGACAGTTTTGAGGGAATTTTAAAAAGTGGATAAAGGTTATAATTGAAGTATAGTCTCAAAAATAAAATCAAGAAAAAATATTGGCAGCAAACTAGGAAAGGTTGCAATTCATCATTTCAGAACCTAGTACCAAACTACGGTAGTGAAAGCATGATGGTTCTGACAAAAGTCAGAGGACATAGGCCAGTAAGCAGCAGAGAGAATCAAGAATGACACTCCCACCTGCATGGTCAAGGGTACCCAGACCACTCAGGAGGAAAAGGCAGTCTAGCGCATATGGTGCAGAGAAAACTGAATATCCCCAAACAGAAGAGTGTCTATACCCTCACATACAAAAATACTTCACCATAAATCAAAGACCCTTTTTTGTTGATGAAATACAAGCTATAGTGCAAAAATATTAGACAGAAATGCAGGGGGATGTACAGGCTACTGGACTTGACTTTGTATTTGGGGTTAGCACAAAATGCACAGTCAAAAGAAAATACACAAAAATCTCAATTTAAGTTTTTTACATGTTTATTGAAAAAAAAAAAAAAAACGTGGTAGCATATCGTTCCCTTGGGCTCATGTCCTCTGCAGGAGCAGGCTTTTGACTGTGTATACTACCAGGGGTGTATTCCCTCACTTGGAGCTGGCCTCAAGTGCAGTCACAAGTCGTTGATTATGTCCCAAACTGTCATGCCACTATTGTATCAATGGACATGTCTAAGCTAACCCAGTTAATATTTTGGCTTAAATGGCACACATATGGGTGTGGCCATTTGTAAGTTCCCTCCCCAGCAACCCATAGCATCTCCTAGCACTGTGAATGCTGGCCAAGATGGTGTGGCTCTCCAGTTTGTGCCATCTTGTCTCTGTATCCTAGAACCAATGTGTACGGGCTATTCACCAGTAGAGTATTAACATCAAATCCTTGTGGGTAACCACGGCAGCTATGGATTCTAGCCATGATTGGCCCTTTCAGCTGTCCGTCAAAGACAGAGGAGTTCCCAGTGAGGCCCCATCCATGTTGAGAAGCTAATGACTGCTACCAGTTTTAGGGAAAGGAGATGACCTTTCTCTATTGGTGTAGCTGCTAAGGGATAATGTGGAAGAAGGTGAGATATAGAGAGGAAGAAAGAAGACACCAGAGGCTAAAAGGGAGGTGAATATAATAATAACATACTCTACACAGTTATGAAACTTTCAAAACTAAAGAAAAAGTTTATACATAAACATCAGTGTCATTTTTCATTTAATAGATAAGTTAAAGAATGACAAAATAAGAGGGCAGTCAGCAACAGTAAAAAGCAAAATCAGAATGGGAGAAAATATTTCACTCATATCTAATAAGGATTCCGATCCAAAGATGCAATAATAGATGGAAAACGTAAGCAAAATTGAGACATACTCTCAAAGACATGTTTCTCCTTAACAACCTTTGCAATCGCCAACCCGATGTGAAAATACAAAGGGAAGGAGGAAGCAAAAGAGAAATGCCATTTACATGTGTGTGAGCAAGAGCAGTCCTGAGGGCGCCGCCTGTAATCCCGGCTCCCTGGGAGGCTGGTGCAAGAGGATGGCAGTTCACAGTCAGCCAGGGCAGCAACGTGAGACCATGTCTCAAAGCTGCCAGAAACAAGATGGTGAGATGAGGTAGCTCAGGAGTGGAGTTCTTACCTTGCTTAGGAAATGTTCAGGTTCAGTCCCTAGTTCTTGAAAAAAAAAAAAATAGAAAAGTAGACCAAATATGGTCAAGGTTGTCAAGAAATTAAGACAGAATCTGAGGCTGGCAGGAGTTGACATGCTCAGTGGGTAAAGCCGCTTGTTGCCACGCCTGACGGATTAGTCCTTAGGACCCACGCAGTAGAAACAGAGAACTAGATTCTGCCAGCTTTCCTCTACCACAGACAACTTGTGGGAAGGGCACATGGTGTCAGCTGAGCTCCAGGGTGATTGTGCAGCCTCCTCACGCCAGCTCTGCCACCTGCAGCAGAGGTGGCCCCGGTTTCAGTAACCCTATCTAAATTTTAACTCTCTGGTTAGAGAGAAAGGGGAATGGACTCCTTTTGTGTGCTGAATGGAAATGACGTGAGGATAAATGGTTTTCTACCAGAGGATCCAACTTTGGATCTGAGAGAAAGCAGAGGCACATTGTTCTAACAAGCACCTGCCTGGGTGAACGGAAGTGTGAACAGTTTATTCTTACGCAATAAATACATTGTAGAAAAACTTTCTTTTGGGTTTTTTTTTCCGAGACAGGATTCTCTGTGTAGTTTTGGTGCCTGTCCTGGATCTCACTCTATAGACCAGGCTGGCCTCGAACTCACAGAGATCCACCTGACTCTGCTTCCCGAGTGCTGGGATTAAAGGCGTGTGCCACCACTGCCCCGGCGTAGGAAAACTTTTACATATAGAATCTGGCCAGCTAGCTTTGAGATCTGACTCACACTCTACACTTTATTTCAGGATTCATCCCCAAGTAAAGATCTTTTGAATCTGTATTTTATTGTACGTTCTTTTTAACAGTATTCCAAATACATACCTATACCATTTCTTCTTATCTATCATCTCCATTCTTTTTTTTTCTTTATTTTTTACTGTAGAAATGTCAACTTTTTAAAAGCAGGGAAAGGTTTATGGAGAGATTAAACTGCACTTGCAAATCGTTATTTTAATCACTTGTACATGTACATATCATCATACTGGCATCTTTTCAGTCCCCTCTCTGACATTTGTATATGAGACAAGATGCAGAATACAGCAAGACTGGAGTCACACTCAGTAGTATGCTAGCAGACTGGCAAACCAATAACCATCCACCTGCCTCAGCTTCCTTAATTCTGGAAATACAGTCATGTGATGCCTCTCTCATCCCTATTCCTTGTTACCTGACTTATATGCTAATAATGGCCATTAATAAGTTATCAGATATGAGGCCAGGCTTATTAGGCCAGAGTCCCTTTGTGCTTGTAAACTTCTACCTGAGCTGCTGGGAGGTTAATGTGCTTCAGAAGTGGTTTATTTGCAGTATCATTGAATGGCATTTTTCTCGATTTTCAGGCTCATCTAAAACTAGCGACATTGAGAAGAAAGTAAGTAAAAGATCAAACACTCTGCACAAATCAACCTCTTCTATGAAGAAGCGTGTGCATAAAGGTAATGGAGTCATTGATGGGAGATATGTGAAACAGAAGTCTGTTCTTGTCCCGCTCTTTCTATTTTTCCAGTATCCTCAACATGTATGTCCTTCCAACACCCAGCCAATATCACAGGCATACAATATGTTTCTTTTTTTCTAAGACCCCTCTGTGGTGGGCTCTGAGGTTCAGCATAGTAATAAGATCCTATGAGTTGATCCCCCTTGCGTCTAACCCAGGTAAATCGATGGGTTTCCTTCATCTCTCACACCCGCACTTAATATTCCTCATGATGTTCTTAAGTGAGAATACTTGATACTTTCTCAATAGTTCCTTTCTATATTGCCTTGATATTTCTGTGATTGTGACTACAATCAATGGATGCAATCAGTATCATTGCACATTTTTCTGCCTCTTTGTAACTACACAGTACAATGTGTGAGTGTGGTGGCCAAATTCAGGGCCTGTACGTTTATAATTCAGTAGCTACTGTGTGGAATATCTGCATATCTATTCCAGAATGATTGTAGTTAATAATTATTGTAGTAATTGCATGAGAAAATTGTTTCCTAGTTCTTAGCTCTAGACCTTTTTAGGGATTTAAAATGTTAAAAGATTAAATTATATTAGTCAGCTGATGATAGCACAGAAAATGACCTACTGATAATGGAAAAAATCCTTAGAATCCCAAAGATAGGTTCTAGAACCAGAAAGTTCCATCCTAGGGGCTGCAGAGGTGACTCAGTGGTTAAAGGGCTTGAAATGCAGGAAAGAGAGCTAGAATTCAGATCCCCAGAACCCATGTAGAATGCAGGGTGCACATGGCAGCCCGTCTGCAATTCTAGGTTGCAGGGCAGAGACAGGATCCCCAGAGCAAGCTGGCTACTGAGATTTGCCACATAGACTAGCTCTGAGTTGGATCAATAGACACTGCCTTATTGAATAAGAGGGGCAAGGGAAGGAAGAAGATTCTCCACAAACACCTCAGACCACCACAAGCACAAGTTCATGTATGCACAAATACCTACACAAAAACATATGCAAGCATGCTTACATGCAAATGATCCCACACACACTTATGCATGTAAAAAGAGAATAATGAAAAAAAATCAATCTCAATCATATGGGATCTTGAAACAAAGAATAAAAAGTTCATTGTGAACAACCAAGAAAGAATCTTTCATAATTTCAGGACTTCTGACACAGCTATAGTAATGAAAGCATCGTGGTTCTCACAACAGAAAGGTAACACAGACCAGAGATTTAGAAGAGAGAGCCAGTAAGTGAAGATCCACCTACATGGTCAAGAGCACCCAGACCACTCTAGAAAAGTCAGTCTGGCACATATGGTGCAGGGAAAACTGAATGTCTTCAGATAGAAGGGTACTCAAGCCCTTAGCTAAGACTATGTACAAAAAATACTTCAGCATAAATCAAAACCCTCACAAATGAAAGTTAAACTACAAAAAATAATAGAAGAAAATATAGGGAAACCTACAGTATCACAGATTTATCTGTATATTTTGTAGTTGATATAAAATCCTTGCCTAATTTGAAAACTTCAAATTAGGCTTCATCAAAATTAAATTTTTTCACCTGTTCTTTTAAAGAAATAATGGAAGTGTAATACACCTTGGGTCCATCTCCACCCCAAGAATAGGCTTTTGATCATGTGTATATCACCAGGGATATATTGTGTCTCATGGAGCTGGCCTCAACTCCCATCACAAATAGTTGGTTATTTCCAAAATGGTCATGTCACTACTGCGCATGGACATGTCTTGCCTACCCAGTCAGTATTATAGTTTACATGGTACATAGCTGAGTGAGACTGAGTTTTCTCTTCAGCAAGCAGCCTGTATTACACCTTCCAGCCTTGTTAACACTTGCCAAAGGAAAGAGTTCCCAGCCGGGCGGTGGTGGCGCACGTCTTTAATCCCAGCACTCGGGAGGCAGAGCCAGGTGGATCTTTGTGAGTTCGAGGTCAGCCTGGGCTACCAAGTGAGTTCCAGGAAAGGCGCAAAGCTACACAGAGAAACCCTGTCTCGAAAAAACAAAAAAAAAAAAAAAAAGAGTTCCCAGCTCAGTTCCATCTTGAGACCTCTCTGTTAACGGAAACAAAGTGTGTGCTGTCTTGTCATTTAGTCCCGATTGGTAAATAAGAGCTAGCCCTATTGGGAGCCACCCAGACCTGTCTCACCAACAACTTCAATGAGATGTCATATCATACGGTTCGAAGGACCCAGGAAATACTGCAAAGAGGTGGCAGAAAGAATTAATGAGCAGGACGATGGGGGTCTCAGAGATATGACATTGTCATTGCCACCGTAGACACATGGCAGCTATGGAGTCTAGCCAGGAATGGGCCTTTCAACTGTCCTTCAGGGAAAGAGGGGTTGCCAATTGAGCCCCCACCCATTCTCAGGAGCTGATGCTGTATACATTTGTAAAAGCAAGATGTGCCCCTGGGCACCAAGTGAAAGAAGGTAAGTGCAGAGATGAAGGGAAGGGGGCACCAGAGGCCAATGAGCAGGCGAACATAATCATAGCACAGTACGTATAGTTAGAAAACTTCAGAAGTGAGGAAAAAATAAAGTTTATGCATAAAAAGATCTTTATTTATTTTATTTCATGTGCATTGGTGTTTGCCTGCCTGTATGTCTGTGTGAAGGTGTCAAATCCCATGGAACTGGAGCTCCAGACAGTTGTGAACTGCCATGTGGGCGTGGGGAATTGAACTAGGGTCCTCTAGGGAGAGCAACCAGTGGTCCTAACCACCGAACCATCTCTCCAGCCCCTGAAAACATTATTTTTTATATAATAGATACATATAACAGAAATAAAAGTGCAATAGCAGCAGAAAAAAGCAGGTCCTGGGACAGGAGAAAGTATGAATTTTTATATATGGTGAGGATTCATATTCAAAGATACAGAAATAGAGATGTAATCTGCAAATAAAACTGGGAAATATTCTAATAGATAGTTCCCCTGGAAGATTCTACAATGGTTAACTGAATGTGAAAATATGATTAATCGTGTGAGAGAGACCAGTCCCAAACTGCTAAGATAAAACACTCTGTGTCCATTCAATGGTTGTTATTAGAGGACTAAAGAGAAAGAGAAGAAAAACATGAGAGAAAAGAGTGTCATTTACAAGCTTGAGAGAGAAAGAGAGAGAGAGAGAGAGAGAGAGAGAGAGAGAGAGAGAGAGAGAGAGAGAGGAGAGCCTGCACTGTCCTGTGGGTACAACCTGAAATCCGAGGTCCTTGGGAAGCTGATGGAAAAAGATACCAGGCAGGCATACTGACACATGCCTTTAATCCCAGCACTGGGGAAGCGGAGGCAGGTGGATCTCTGAGTTTGAGACCTGCCTGGTCTACATAGCGAGTTCCAGGACAGCCAGGGCCACATAATGAGACTCCGCCTCAACAAAAAAAAAAAAGAAAGAAAAAAGATGATGATTCACATTCAGCCTGTGCAGCATGATGAGATGATGAGGCCATGTCTCAGTGTTCTGAGTAACGAGAGAGTGGGGTGTGCGTAGCTCAGGAATGGAATACTTGTCTTGCGCACAGAATGTCCAGGTTCAGTTCACAGTACTTGTAATAACAGAAACGGAGGAAAAGGAGATCGATGTTGGCAGCTTTGTCAAAGGCTATAACTGATGAGGTGATCCAGAGGGGGTTTGGAGCCAAGCCTTAAGCAGGCTGATCCTCAGACCCACACAGTAGAAACAGAGAACTGACTTGTGCCATTATCCTCTGACCGCCACAGGAATGGTATACAGAATGTGAATGTACGCATGCGCACACACACTCAAATAAATAAAATGTAACTTTAAAAAAAAAAAACAGAAAAAAAAAATGGGAATGAGGATGACCTAATATCACCTGAGCTCCAGCAGGCTTCAGCAACCTTCCCTGGACAGCTCTGCCATTGCCCACACTGGTGACTGCCATCCCAGTAACCTCTGTCTACATTTTGACTGTCTAATCAGGTAGAGAGGATGATGATCTCCTTTTGTATGCTGAACAGAAAGAACATGAGGATAGATAATTTTCATCCAGAGCATCCAACTTTGGGTCTGAGGGAGAACCCCAAGAGCACATGGTTCACAAAAGCACTGGCCTTGATGAATGAAAGTATGAGCATTTTATTCTTGTGTAAGAAACACAAGTCGAAACTGAAAACATGTAATGTGTCTGCATAACTGTCTTAGTGAAGGCTTTTGTTGCTGGGATGAAACCCCATGACCAAAGCAACTTGGGGAGGAAAAGGTTTATTTGATTACACTTCCACATCACTGTTCATCATGGGAGGAAGTCAGGACAGGAACTCAAACAAGGCAAGAACCTGGAGGCAGGAGCTGATGCAGAGGCCATGGAGGGGTACTGGTTCCTGGATTGCTTCCCATGGCTTACTCAGCCTGCTTTCTTGCAGAATGCAGGAACTCCAGCCCAGGATGGCCCTGCCCACCATGGGCTGGGCCTTCCCCCATTGATCAGTAATTAAGAAAATGCCTTACAGCTTGTTCTTACAGAGGCAGTTCCTCAACTGAGGCTTCTTCTTTCAGATGACTCTAGCTTGTGTCAAGTTGACATAAAACCAGCCAGGACACTAACTTTGAGAAACAACTCTGTAACTGGCCCATAATCAACTATTGTATTTCAGCATTTGTCCCAAATGAAGGCAAACTACATATATTGTTTGTTTGTTTGTTTGTTTTATTTTTCGAGACAGGATTTCTCTGTGTAGTTTTGGTGCCTGTCCTGGATCTCACTCTGTAGACCAGGCTGGCCTTGAACTCACAGAGATCTGCCTGGCTGTGCCTCCTATGTGCTGGGATTAAAGGTGTGCACCACCGCCGCCCAGCGGCAAACTATATTTTTAATCATACATTTTTTATATCATTCTGCATACATACACACTGGCATTTCTTATTATCCCCCTTCATTCTTGCACTTTATTTTCTATTTTAGAAACGTCAGTTTCTATTGAAAACCAAGAAAGGGTTACAAAGATATTCAATTGTATCTGAAAATGTTAGTCACTCACAGTTTTTTAAATGCCGGTTTTGTGAAAGTCTTTCTATGTCGTTTGTATACAGTGTTTATGCTCATTTTTTTTAGATAAGGGTGCTACATACGTCAAGGCTGGGGTCACACTCAGTACATAGGCTGCCTGTCAGGTAGAAGCCCATCTCCCTGCCTCAGCCTCCCAAGTGTGGGAACTACAGACATGCTACACCTCTCCCAGCTTTCTCTCTTTATCTGACTTATTCTACTGTGATCAGCTTTGATGGGCTATCATATGACAGCCAAGGCTGCTTCAGACAGAATCTGTTTATAGTTCTTAGGTGTCATGCTGATTAGCCGAAAGAGAGGCTGTGCTTCAGACACTGTGTTATTGAAAGATCTCGTTCTCATTTTTCAGAGCCGTCTAAGACTAAAAAGTTGGGCAAGAATGTTGGTGAAGGCACCCCTACTCCGCGCAGGTTAACCCCTGCTTGGATGAAGCGTGTGCTCAAAGGTAACGGAGTGACTGTAGTATAGATGTGTGAAACAGAACTCCATTCCAGTCCCACAATTTCTATCCATCCGACAACCTATGAGCCCCTCAACTAAGAAACTAATATCATCCCATGATGGCATTCATACCTACATTTGCATCCTTCATCCCTCACATCTTCTCTTTTCTGCACGATTCTCTAAAAGGGTAATGTGCTGTAACTTATTCAACTGCTGCTTCTCACCATGCCATTTAGGTCTTTAGTGTTTATGAATTAGAGCTGAGGTCAGTAAGTGTTCAGTGTTCTTAATTTTCTTATTTGCTTTTGTTTCTATAAAATAGAGTGTGAGTGTTGGCTAAGGAACATAGATGCTTTTAATTTTAAAAGATTGGAAGTTTATTTGAAAATTATAGGTAATAGTTCTGCCAGTAAATAAATGAAAAACCTGTTTCTAGGTATCTTCCTACAGAAATAGACTTTATAAATTTGAAATGTGAATGTTGAACTACATTGTTGATAGTCAATACTACATCAAAGACTCAAAGCTCTAGGAAAATTCATGGAATTCCAAAAGGATTTTTGCAGAAATATGAAACAGTCCATTTGAAAATTCACATGAATTTCCAGAGACTATAATAGTCTAAATAATCATGTAAAAGAACAAAATAAAGACTTTATACCTTGAAAACTCACTACCAAGCTACAGCAAGGAAAGCAGTATGGTTCCGACAGGCACACAGGTGATGCAGATAACCTACATGGTTAATGATTTCAAGAGCACATAATAGGGGAGGGGGGCCTGTCACACACAGTGCAGGGAAACCTGGATATCCCCAAGCAGAAGTATGAAAGGAGCCCGTGATAAAGTGTATTCAAAACATAAGTCAGCATGAAGACAGACCTTAGAAGTGAAAGCTAAAACACAAAAACACTGGAAGAAAACAGGCGAAAAGTTACATCTTGAGTCTGCAGGAATGGCTCAGTAGACAAGATGTTGTGGGTTCACATCCCACGCAAGACACATATGACAAAACATAAATTAATAATTTAAAAAACATAGATCATGGCCGGGCGCTGGTGGCGCATGCCTTTAATCCCAGCAATTGGGAGGCAGAGGCAGGCGGATCTCTGTGAGTTCGAGGCCAGCCTGGGCTACAGAGTGAGTTTCAGGAAAGGCTCCAAAGCTACACGGAGAAACCCTGTCTCAAAAAAAAAAAAAAATCATATTTAAGAAACCTACATGACGTTTGTTTTGGAAATTAGTTTTGAACTGGCATTAAAGACACAGTCAACAAGGAAAAATATAGACAAATTAGAGTTCATCAGATTTAAAAACTTATAAACATCAAGGAAAATATAATTTTGCACGGTTACTATATGTGAGTTTTAAAAAGATAAATAAAATGGGACAATGTCAATGGAGTAGAAGGGCTACCCTCAAAAAGGGATTGTATTAGTTTGGATAAAGATGTGTGGTATATATGTCTATATATACACAATTTATATGTGTGTGTGTGTGTGTGTATATATATATATATACATATATATATATATATGTGTGTGTGTATACATATATATATATATATATAAACTTTATATGTAAAGGAGATTTATTAGAATGACTTACAGGCTGCAATCCAGCTAATCCCATAATGGCTGTCTGTGAACAAAAAATCCAAGAATCCAGTAAGTAGTTGCTGAGTCCACAAGGCTGGATGTCTCAATCAGTTTTCAGTATGCACTGGAATCCCAAAGAAGCAGGCTCTAATGCCAGTGAAGGAATATTCTTGCTAGCAAGGTGAGAGCAAGCAGGCAAAGAGAGCAAGCTTCCAAGCTTCCTCCTTCCATGTCCTCATATTAGGCTTCCAGCAGGTGTGGCCCAGATCAAAGATGTGTCTTCCCACCTCAAGAACCTGATAAAGAGTGGATCTTCCCACTTCAAATTAGGCAAAAAAAAAAAAAAAAAAAAAAAAATCCCTCACTGGTGTGCTCTTCATTTTTTGGATTTTAGTTAATCCTAGATGTAGTCAAATTGACCGCAAAGAATAACCATCGAAGTGCTCTGCTAACGAAGGTCTTAAACTCAACCACAAAAAAACTCATAAAAACAATATCAAATACTCCAACAGACAGTCCTCCTGAGCAGGTATTACAGATACCAACATGAACAGAGAAAGATTATGGAGACATCACTGCTCATTAGGGAAATTCTACCCAAAAGAACAATGAGGAAAACATATATGTTAGCAGACTGGCAGGCATGTACCTGCCTCAGTGGGTCTCCCAAGTGCTGGAATGCAGACATGTGACCCATCTCCCAGCTCTGATCCTCCTGTTACATGACTTATACTCTAAGAACAAACTTTTATAAAATACCACCTACAAGAAACAGTGTGCTGGTTGCTTTTTTATGTTTGTTTTTGACACTTGACCTAAGCTAGAAAAGGGGAACCTCAACTGAGAAAATGCCTCCATCAGACTGGCCTGTAGGCAAGTCTATGGGACATTTTCTTGATTAATGATTGATGTGAAAGAGCCCCGCCCACTATGGGTGGTGCCACTCTAGGTAGGTGGTCCTTAGTTGCATAAAAAAGCAAACTGAATGAGCTGAAAGCAAGCCACTAGGCATGTTTCTGCTTAGTCTCTGCTTCAGTTCCTGCCTCCAGGTTCCTTCCCTGCTTGAGTTCCTGCCTTGGCTTTCATCTTTGATGGGCTGTAATCAGGATGTGTAAGCCAAATACATCCTTTCTTCCCCAAGTTGCTTTAATCATGGTCTTTATCACAGTAATAGAAAGCAGACTAGAACACAAGGCTTGGCAGAGCTATTCATGACTGTTAACTTTGTACCTGAAGAGCTGAGAAGGCCTACTTGCAGAATAATGAATGGCATTGTTCTCACTTTTCAGAGGCATCTAAAATCAGTAATTTAGACAAGCAAATTATTAAAGGAACAAAGATCCTGCGCAAGTCAAACTCTGCCTTGAAGAAACGTGCACCCAAAGGTAAAGAAGTAGCTGGCATACAGATGTGTAAAACAGAACTCTGTTCTATCTTTGCTGTTTCTACCAGCCTTAAATTTATACAAATCCAGGGGCCCAGGAGAGACACTACCAATGGCGTGGGAATGAATCCAGTTGCTCGGAGCTCTTTAACTCAATTCATTTATTCCTCAGTCACTAGTTCAACCCTCTCAGCTCTCTCTTTATTTCCTTAGTTCCCTTCTACTTCCCTCAATTCTTAATTCCCTCTAATCTTCAATTCCTCAATCCTTCAATCTTCAATTCCTAATTCCCTCAATTCTCTGTTCCCTTCATTCCTAGTTCTCTCCAATCCTAATTCTCTCCCATCTTCAATCCTTCAACTCTCCATCCTTCAGTCCTTCTCCCCATCCTTCAGTCCTTCCTCCCCATCCTTCAGTTCTTCTTCTCTTTCCCTTCTCCAGGCACTGGTCTATATCCTATCCCAAACAGTAACACCTTATGTTTTGTATACAGCACAAGATTGTAGGGGCCCCTGCTAGAGGCTTCCTGGCAATTTTATTTGCAACCCAAAAAAGGAGAGATAAGAGTGGGGTCAATTAGTAGTTGGCATAAATCTGAAAAGGAATTTATGTGCTAGAAATACATCCTTATTGTGGTTAGGTGAAGGCATTACGAATCTATCAACTATAGACTTACAGGTGATAGGGTAGGAAAAGTCTGTAGGTCACTAAAGGTTAAAACAGTCACTTTTTTTCTCTGCCACCAGTTTCCTGACAGGGCGGGGGAAGAGTACTGATAGCTAGTCAGTCTGCACCACAGCTTGAAACACCTGTCGCGGGGGAACTCCTTTTGCTCTAAGAGGCTCTGTGGGGCAGTGAGAGAGGGAAGGGAGGCCTTGATTTGCACAAGAAACAAAGCGTGTTCATTCATGTAGTTGGTGGGCATTTGGCCTGTGAGACACGTAGTCTCAGAAAAGACATTTTATCTAAATTGGGGGGTTTTCAGGTGTCTAACAGATGGCCTGGTAGCCATCTGTTCCTTGCTTGTCTTTTAAGGATTTGTTTGGGGTTGACTCTATCTTAGTAAGTAGCTCAAGGAGGGTATTTGCAAATGGCAGATGCCCAAAACAAACGCTAAAGAGGGGGCCTGGAGCTCAGAAGCTGAAGGTTTTGTCTGTGTGACTATCTGGGGGCTTTGAAACGGAGACTCACACACACACACACTTCAGGAGAATTATGAGCACAAGGAATTAATAGCAAGACACAAGTGAATATTAAACCGCATAACACCAATTGACCTTGCTGATTGGCTTTCCACTCAACAGACCCTTGGCCTCATTAAGGTATAGCTTATAATATACAGCTGGACTTCTATTTCATATTCCTGTGGCTCGCCACAAGAGTAAAAGAAAGCAGACTAGAACACAAGGCTTGGCAGAGCTATTCATGACTGTCAACTTCGTACCTGAAGAGCTGAGAAGGCCTGCTTGCAGTATAATGAATGGCATTGTTCTCACTTTCCAGAGCCATCTAAAACCGGTAATTTAGACAAGCAAAGTATTAAAGAAACAAATACCCTGCGCAAGTCAAACTCTGCCTTGAAGAAACGTGTGCCCAAAGGTAAAGAAGTCACTGGCATACAGATGTGTAAAACAGAACTCTGTTCTTTCCTCACTGTTTCAATTTTCCAATGATCTCAATCTCTGGGCCCTTCCAACATACAGGTAGTGTTAGGAAAACAAGGTGTGTTCCAGTGTTTTTCCTGTAAATAGAAAGGGAAAATATGTGGAGGGCTTTGCTGTGCTGCACAATAATATGCTTCTATGCATAGATTCCCCCTTGCCTCTAACCCAGGTAAATCGACGGGTGTCCTTCATCCCCCTCCCTCTTAATATTCTGCATGATGTTCTGAAGTGGGAATATTTGAGATTTCTTCGCTAGTTTAAGTCACCTTTATATTTCTGTGGTCATGACTACCGTCAATGGTGCAGGCGACAGCATTACACATTTTATTCTCTTCTTCCACTTTACAGCTCTACAGTGGCATGTGTGAGTGGGGTGGTTAGATTCAAGACATGTCTGCTCTCGACTCCATAGCTACTGGATAGAATATGTATGTATCCATTCCAGAATGACTGTAATGTTTAGTTATGGCAGGGACTGAATGAGAAAACAGTTTCCTGGTTCTTAGCACTAAAGTTTTTAGGAATTGAAACATTTAAAAGATTAAATTGTATTAGTCAGTGGACAAAAGCACCTTCCAGACTTAGGGGGAAAAAATCCCTAGAACCTCAACAATATGTGGTAGAACTAGAAAATTCCATGAACACACAGCAGCTATGGATACGAGCCAAAATTGGTCCTTTCAATCATCTAGCAAGAATGGAGGACTTGTCAATGAGCTCCTGCCCACTCTGAGGGCCCAGTGATTATCAATGCATGGGGGGAGGTTGCATCATTTTTTTTTTCATATTGTTGTATCCACTGTGGGACTACATGAGAACACTCATGGGAAACATCAACCCCAACCACAGGGAGGTAACACTTCGTGCCCATCATATGGTTGTTAGAGAGAAAAGAAGAAAGGAAAGCAGAAAGTGGAAGAAAGAAAACTATTGATGCTTCCAAGTGCATGAAAAAGAACAGTCCTGTGGGTGCAGCCTGTAATCCCAGTGCCTTGGGAGGCTGATGCAAGGGAACGACACATTCACATCTATCCCGAGTAGCATGATGAGACCATGTCTCCAAGTTGTCAGAAGCAAGAGGTGGGATTAATGTAGTTCAAGGGTGGAGTACTTTCCTCACAGACAAAATGCCCAGGTTCAGTTCTCTGTACTTGAAACAAACAGAAAAAGAGAATACATTTTGGTAAGGATGTCAAGAAATTATAAACAGGAAGTGGGGAGGGATTCAAGTTGGTTCAGCGGGTAAATTAGACCTGACACATGCATTCCATCCCCACAACACATGCTAGAAACCAAGAACCTACCGGTTCCAGTTGTCCTTTGACTCCACAGTCACAAATGAATCCATTGTAGTTTAATGTTTTCAGAGAGAAAAAGAAATTGGGACCAGGTACACGTGGTGTCACCTAAGGCTTAACCAGCCTCTCCCAATAGGATCTTGTTAGGTACCAGAAAGCTGGCATCAGACTCACTACGCTGGCCAGAGAATCTCCAGATTTCCATCCCCCTCATGCTTTAGTCTCAGAAGTGTTGGTGTGTATTAACACAATCTCTTCTTCAGCATCACTGACTTACACTTTTGTGTGTATGCGTGTGTGTGTGTGTGTGTGTGTGTGTGTGTGTGTGTGTGTGTGTGTGTAGCCCTGGCTGTCCTGGATCTCACTCTATAGACCAGACTGGCCTCGAACTCACAGAGATCCGCCTGCCTCTGCCTCACCCCACCCCCGAGTGCTGGGAGTAAAGGTGTACACCGCCACTGCCTGGCTGACTTACACTCTTACGTTGACATACTATATCCACTGTGAGGAAAGGAAAGTACATACAGAAGGTATTTATGCTGGTGAAATCACTTTGTCTGACTAACTGAAGAGGGCCATAAGAGGCTCTGCTTTAGAAAGATTAAGGTAATTTTTAACTTTTTAAGAATTAAAATGAGTTTATTTCAAGCTAGCACGGTGGGGTACTGCATTAATCCCAGCACCCAGTGCAGAGGTGTCGATCTCCATGAGTTGGAGGCCAGCCTGGTCTACCAAATGAGTTCTAGGTATGCCAAGGCTAGATAAAAAGACCGTCTCAATGAAATAAAATTAGTTTGTTTCTACTATCCTTGAGTGGCACTGTTCTTGTGTTTCCAGGGCAGCCTAAACCTACAACTTTAGACAAGAAAGGTGCTGACCTTCCAAATAATCTGGTTTCTTCAACATCTGCCTCCAGTAAGCACAGGTTTAAAGGTAAGGAGTCACTGGAATGCAGACCTGTGAAGTGACACTGTGCTCCAGCTCCACTCTTTCTGTTCACCAGCACACTCAAGCTGTGGGCCCTTCCAACAAGCAGCCAGCATACCAAGCACAGCAGGTGTTCCGTGGTTTCTGCATAAATAGATGATAGGTGTGTGGAGGGTTTGTGGCTCTGTACAATAAAAAATCCTCTGCCTGGACCTCCCTTACCATTCACCTGAGTAAGCTGATACATTTCCTTTGCCCCTCACGGCTTTCCTTTTCTGCATGAAGATCTGAAAAAGAGATGTCATGACTTACTCAACATCTCACATATTGAGAGACCATTGGGTTTTTATTGTTACAACCACAATCAGTGGAGCTACAGTGTCACTGTACACTTTTTATTATGTTGTTTATGCTTCTATAAAACACAGAGGAGCTGGGCTGGGCATAGAGCTCTGTCAGTCAAGCGCTTGTGGTGCCGCCTCAGGACCCGAGCTAAGATGCCCAGCACCACATAAAGAGCCACACAGACCACCCACACTCCTGTAATCCCAGCCCTGGGGAGGCAGAGACTGGTAGATCCCTGGGGGTTGTTGACTAGCAAGTCTAGCCAAATTGGTGAGCGCAGGGTTTGGTGAGAGATCCTTCCCCAAAACCAAGGTGAAGGGCTGGAAAGATGGCTCACTGATTTTGCACCTTTGCTGTACTTCCGCTTGTAAATTCCATTCCCAGCACCCATTACAGACAGTTCCCAACTGCTCTTAACTCCAGATCCAAGAGATGTGGCACCCTCTTCTTACCTGGCAAAATGAGAGGGACCCAACCACAAGTGGGGCACACACACACACACACACACACACACACACACACACCACATACACACACACTGCAAATGAGTTAATAATTTTAAACTAGGTAGAGAATGATTGAGGAAGACACCTGCCATTAATCTTTGGCCTATATGGGGGTGGGGGATGGGCAGGAGTAGAGAAGGAGGAGAGGGAGAAAGGAAAACAGGCAGTGTGACTGAGGAGATAGCTCAGTAAATGGTTTGTGATCCTAAAACTGCAGAGGCAGAGACATGTGGATTCCTGGGACCCACTAACCAGTCTGCTCAGCCTAACCCATCAGTTCTGTACCAGAAAGAAACCCTGTCTCAAAAGAAACACAGTGACTAGCACCTGTGGAATGAAACTCAGTGCTCACTGCTAACCTCCATACATGCTCACACACATGATAGGGAAACCATACTGGAAAGCATATGCAGGCTAAAAACACATTCACAACATATCAATTAGCTAACTATCCAATTGAGTAGAGTATATAAGTACTTATATAAGTATATAAGTGAGAAAGTAACTCTGCCAGTAAGTATATGAAAAAAAAAAATTACCTCTTCTTCTCTTAGCCAGCATTAGTCTTTTCATGGACTGAAACACTAACAATGTTAAATTATGTGTTTGTTTGTTTGTTTGTTTGTTTGTTTGAGACAAGGTCTCACTACATAGCCACTGACTGGCCAAGAACTCATTATGTAGACCAGACTGGCCTCGAACCCATAAAAATCTACCTGCCTATATCTCCCAAGTGCTAGGATTAAAGGCATGTACCACCATGCCTGTCATGGAATTATATTTTAGGTGTCAAAACAATAAAATATGATCTAAAGAGTCTGAAAAGTCCCTGTGCAAATTCCAAAGACATTTTACAGAAATAGAAAAGTCCGTTTTAAAATTCCAATGAAGTCGCCAAAGACTATGGTGGTCAAAATAATCTTGTCAAAGATCCAAGTAAGAAGAGTAATGCTTCATGATTTCAGAACTTACTCCCAAGCTACAGAAGTGAAGAAAGCATTGTGGTCCTGGCATGCAGGCAGATGACACCCAGACCAGTAAAACGAAGAGAGATCCCAGAATTAAACTCACCTCTTTGGCCAACCACAGAATGTGGAGAGAGCAGTCTGTTAGAGATGGTGCTGGGTAAACTAGATATCCTATGCAAAAGCATGGAGTGGGGGCCCTTATCTTAAATTATGTTCAAAACCCAATTCAAAATGAATCAAGAACCTATAAATAAGAGCTAAACTACAAAAGTAATAAAATAAAATGTAGGGAAAACCCTATACGATACTTAATTTGCCAATGTGTTTTTGGACAGACATCAAAGATCTTTCTCTATAACTAAGGATGGTCTTGAACATTCTACCTATACCTCCCCAGTGCTGACATTACAATAGCATGTCACCACACTCTGGCTGTGCTGTGCCAGGAATTCCTTCAGGGCTTCATAGATGCAAGGCTGAACCACACTTCAGCCCTCTATCTCCTCTTGCATTATATTTTTCCATTGTTGGAATATCACCTTCCTTTCCAGAAATAAGTGTATTTCCAGATACAGATTACTAGACCTGAAAATTTACATTTTAGTTACTCATACTCATATTCATAAACAATAAACAATAAGCTCATTGCTTATTGTCCTGATGTTTTCAACTTGTTTACTTTTTTAAATCTTTTAAAAATATTCCTTTTAAATGTGTATGAGTATTTTGCATGCATGTATGTGTGTACATGCCTGATGCCTATGGACATCAAAACAGGTAACTAGAATAATAGATCATTGCAAGCCACGTGTGGGTGCTAAGAATCAAACCTGCGTGCTCTCAAAGACCAGCCAGTGTTCTTAACCACTAAGCCACTGCTCCAGGCTCCTATTTGTGTTTTGAGACACAGGTGCTGTGTTTAGGAAGGCTGGAATCATATTCCATATGTAGGAAGGCTAGCAGGCTGGTACCCATCTCCCTGTTTCAGCCTCCCGACTGCTGGCACCAGGGGGTGCACCGACATCATAGTGAATGTTCTTGGCAAGCGCATCAACTATCAGGCAAGGGTGGCTCATCAGAATCCGTCTGTGCTGGTCACACTGCTTTGTACAGATTACCGAGCTTTGGAAGGAAGCTGTGCTTTAGAAAGAATTGAGCCTGAAGTCTTTAAAAACTGAAATTATTTAATTGCTGGTGTCATCCACTAATGTTCTCACTTTTCATGGCAGGCTGAGTCTGAAAACTCAGATGAAAAGGATTTTAAACTCCCAAATAATCTGTGCCCTTCTGCCTCTACTACAAGGAAGCGTCTCCTTAAAGGTAAAGAGATAACAAACATGCAGAAATCAACTCTGCTTTATCGTTTCTGTTGACCAGGATCTTCAGCGCGTGGGCCCTTCTGACAAAGAGCTGAGGCTCTGAGCCCAGCAAGTGTTCTCAGGCTTCTCCTCTAAGTAGACCCCGTGAGGAGGGCTCTGTAGTTGTAGATAGTAAAAGGATCCTGTGCATAGGTCCTCCTTACCTTTAACTCAGGTAAATCAATTAGTTTTCTTTATTTATCACAGGCCTTAATTTTCTGTATGGTGTTCTAAAAAGAAACTATATCATGGCCCGTCCAAAAGTCCACCTGGTGAGCCCCCTTTACATTTTGGTTGCAACTACAATCATTGGATCAGTAGATAGCATTGTATGTTTTTATTATGCTAGTTTATGTCTAGAAAGTGGAGGGTGTTGGAATTTTTTGGAATTAAGAAAATATGTTCTTTTAGTTTTCACAGATACTGCCATATACATTTTCAAATGATTGTAATTAATAGCTGTGATAACAAATGCTTGAAAAACTACTTTGCCTTTACTTAGACAGCACTTGACTTCTTTGGCATTTTTTTTCATACACAGTTATCCCATTTAGAGCTGAATATTCCAAAGACTCTCACTCTCTGTACATTGTCCAGTTGTTGGTCTCTGTTAATTACCATCTACTTCAAGAAGGCTGTGATGAGTGTTAGAGATGCACATGTTTATGTTTATTTCAGCTCAGAGTTCCACAGCGCAGTCCATCACTGAGGGAAGTCAGGACAGGAACTCAAACTAGGCAAGAATCTGGAGGCATGGCTGCTACACAGGATGTGGAGGAGGGCTGCTTACCAGCTTGCTCCTCATGGCTTTCTCAGCCTGCTTTTACCCAGGACCACCTGCCCAGGGGTGACACCACCCATAGTGATCTGGGTCCTCTCACATCAATCGTCAATGAAGACTATATACCACAGGCTTGCCAACAGCCAATTCGTGGGGACCAGTGCCTAGGCGGATAGTAAGGGACCAGTGGAGGGGGAGATCTTTCAAGGAAGGGGATGTTTTAAAAAGATAAAGGAGAAACCAGAATAGGAAGACTAAATAGGGAAGGGTGACAGGGCAGGGAAATGGAGAGAACATGGGAAGAGAAAACCAACACTAAAAGCCTTTCATAAAGCCACATGGCAACACAGTACTGTAGAAGCTTTCTAAAATATATGCATGTATGGAAGTCATTTGACAATGTCCATCTAGACATCTTATGCTACTAAGTGAAATCCTCCAACACAGGAATGATATATATCTTAGGGAGTCATTGTCCAAATCACAGGCTGTTGCCAAGGCTACTGGTTACCTTCCACAATCAGACAACAAGGCCTTATTGCTGAAGACGCCATTTACTTAGGTTATCCCACATGGAGAGAATATACTAGCACCCATCTAAAGGCTTTACCCCTACTGACTAGAGACAATGGTGCTAGAAAGTACTATGCACATGACAGGAGGAGAAAAGGAAATCATTAATATCACCCAGCTATGAAGCCCGTGGACCTGTCTACAAAACCTATTGATGTAATGATGACGGCACAAATGTGATAGGAGTAACCAAGCACCGTTTTGATTAGATTTAAGGGCCACTCCATGGGAGGGAGCCTAAACCTGACTTTGCTAGATAGTTTCATGTTAACTTGATGTAAGCTAACATTACTTTGGAAGAAGGAACCTTAATTGAGAAAATGTCCCCTTCCTTGAAAGATCCGCCCCTCCACAGTCCTACTACCTACCTAACCTCTGTTTAAAGTGTTTTTTGTTTTTTGTTTTTTAATTTTATTTATTTTATTTTACAATACCATTCCTGTTTAAAGTTTTTTATTTTGATTTTTTTTTTTTGAGGCAAGGTCTCATTTTATAACCCTGACTGGCCTTGAACTCCTATAGACCAGGCTAACCTCAAAATCATAGAGATCTACTTGTCTCTGCCTCTCAAGTGCTAGTATTAAAAATATGTGCCACCACTTCTGGCTTTTTGTGTATTCATAGAGGTCTAAAAGCCAGCCACTAAAAAATTCAAGTAAAAACAGTTCAAAGTACTCCCGTAGATGTTCCTCCTAAAAATATACTACAAATAGCCAGCACACACATGAATCCATGGTGTTGTGGTTTTGTTTCTGTTGCTTTGGTTAAAGTACACTAACCAAAGACATCATGTAGGGGACAAACATATATTTGGCTTATGATTCTCGGTTACAGTCCAAACTTGCAGGAAAGTCGCAGTGGCAGCTGTCCATATTACATCCTCAGTAAAAAGCAGAAAGAAACGGATGTATCCTTGCTGCCTGCTTGCTCTCCTCTACCTCTCTCCTGTCCTATATTGTTCAGGACTCTCTGCCTAGGGAATGGTGACACCCACCATAGGCTGAGTCGATTGCAATCAGTACGATCCCCTACATATATGCCATAGGCCACTAAGCAATCCTCTATTGAGACTCTCTTCTCAGGCGATTCTAGATTGTGGCAAGTTGTAATTTGAAACCAACTCTCACACATGTTACAGATCACTGATTATTAGGGAAATTCAACCCCAAAATAACACATCATACCCATCAGATGGCTACTATATACAAAAGGCGGGCTAGAAGGGGGAAGCAAAGGGGAAAATAATAATATGGACTTTGGGGTGCAAACCTGTGATTCCAGTCACTTGGGAGGCTGAGGCAGGAATTATAAGTTCTGTGCCAGCCTGAGATATGGAGTGAGTTGAAGACTCCCTGTTGAAGTTAGTGAGACCCTGTTTAAAAGAAAAAAAAGGCCTGGAAAGGGATGTAACTCAGTTGTGGGGCACTTGTCTAACATAGGCAGGACTGCATTTAATCCCCAATACCAAAAGAAAGAAAGAATAACGTTAGCAACAATGTCAAGAAATCCCTGTGGCTGCTAAGAGGAAGGCAAAATGGTACATAACGTCTGGAAAACTCTGTGGCAGTTCCTCCAGTATTTAAAATAGATTTGTCATATGATAAACGCACCAACCCACTTCTTGATGTGTATCCAAAACAAGTGAAATGAAGAGCACAAGTCGATATTTGTGTAACCATGTCTGTTTCAACGTTAGTCAGAACCCCAAGTGTCCCCTGGAAGGTGAATGAGTAAATAAAATGTAGTGCTGTACACAGAGTGGAATATTAGCCTTTAAAGGGAAAGAAATCCTGACACTTATTACAGCATGACATCCATAACAGGCCAGTATAATAGGTCACAGAGACAAGTATGTAATCATCCATTCATATGAAGTAATCAAAGTAAGAAAAAAAAAAAAGGCAGGGGACCTGAGGTTTGGAGAAATCATTTAATAGGCAGGGAGTTTCTGTATTTCCAGAAGAAAAATAGTTCTGGAAAGGGATGGTGGGTGAGAGCCATACTGCATGATGGGCATGCCTAATAATGTTCCTAAACCGTTCTCTTAGGAACAGCTAAGCAGGCACATTTTATGCTACATTTAAATTACAATATTAAGTACATTGTTAAAAATAAATATAGAATGAAGTTTCCATCTTCAGTGATATTTATATTTAATGGGAACTAGGTACATCTTAAACAGCCACTTTAATTTTTTTCTATGAAATAACCTACTTTTATTCCTTGTCCATTTTCCATTAACTGCCTTTGTGTTGCAGAAAGTGTGATAGGGTCTTTTAACCTTTCCCGTTCCTATCAATTCAAATTGAGAGAAAGCAAAGCAGTTCTAGAAAGAATTCACACGTAGGCTTACCCAGATCCTCTCGCTCTGTGTCTCCACGTTTGTGAGTGTGTCGGCCATACCACTGTTCTGCCTCTGAACTGTAGAAGAATCAACCACTCCGGATCTGTTCGCTAAAAACGGATCATCAGGCTTGATCACAACACAGCTCCCACAAAGGAAACTTACCATCGGTGAGACCCAATGTGTCATCCGCAATCCATGCTCAAACTGCATGTGTTGCAGTGAGGCCAACTTGAAACACACACATGATTTGGAGATATTTCTCAAAAGAAAGCATACAGGTGGCCATGTGGAGAGATACTCACACCACTGCTTCTCCTCAGGCAGTCCAGAGATGAAACTGTGTTCACATTGACATCATCAATGGGCTGCATGTGTCCCACAAGAAATAACTCCAGTTAATACTGCTTTGTGTCTGGCTCTTTCACTTATGTTTTCAAAGATTCAGGTTTTTGTTTTGTTTTGTTGGTTTCCTCTATTTGGTCCGTTTTGTTTGTTTGGTTGGTTGGTTTGGTTTTTTTGGTTTTTCGAGACAGGTTTTCTCTGTGTAGCTTTATACCTTTCCTGGAACTTGCTTTGTAGACCAGGCTGGCCTCGAACTCACAGAGATCCGCCTGCCTCTGCCTCCCGAGTGCTGGGATTAAAGGCGTGTGTGTGTACCACCACTGCCTGGCAGTCCCTGTTTTTAAAATATCTTTTGTTTATTCTTTGACAGTTTCCAACATGCATACACTCCATCTTGATCCTAACCTCTCTCCCTCCTCCTTCCCCCTCTCCCTCCCCCTCCCTCTCCCTTCCCCCTTCCCCTCTTGTGCTCTCTCTCTCTCTCTGTCTCTCTCTCTCTGTCTCTCTCTCTGTCTCTCTGTCTCTGTCTCTGTCTCTCTCTCTCTCTCTGTCTCTCTGTCTCTGTCTCTCTGTCTCTGTCTCTCTCTCTCTCTCTCTCTCTCTCTCTCTCTCCACCTCTGTGTCCGAGGATATGGTATGATCCAGGCCTGTTTTGGTTTGTGTCAGCCTCAAGATGGGTCTTTTGCCTGAAGCAGACTTATAGTCATTTCCTTCGGGACTCAACAGCATCTCTTCATCCTTTTTATTTACTTGGCATCTCAGGCATATTAAGTGTATGTAGTTTATATCAAAAGGCAAAAGTCCACACAGCCTGAGCATGATTTCTCCAGCAGTGCTCCTGCGTGTGGCCTGGAGCAGTCAGAATTCAAATCCAGGTGTGGAGTGGAGGCACAGGCAGAAGCAGCAGAATCTCTGTGAGTTCGAGGTCAGCTTGGTCTACAAAGTGAGTTCCAAGACTGCCAGAACTGCACAGAGAGACCCCGTCTCAAAAAAAAAATGCAAATCCATGGGCACCACCCTGCCAGATAGCCAGAGCTTGAGGGCCCAAGTCCAGGCATCTGCCCTAACTTTGAGCTGCCCTCCTGCTGGTGGGGGCTGGAGATTCACTGTCCAGAGCTCACACTGCTCTCAGTTAATAATGCCCTGGCATCATTCCTGCAGACAGTGTACATTCAGCCTCACAGGCTCCATTTCCATTGCTTGTATATCTATCCTGTAGGGACCAGTATCAGCTCAGGACACCCAAGATCAAGTTCTCAGCACAAAAGAGATTTATTTGTCCCAGAGGGACAAAGGTTGGGGGGATTAGAGACAAAGAGAGGAGACAGAAGATGAGGGAGGGGGAAGAGAACAAGGAAGAGAGGGAAGGGTATTTGCCCCAGGGGCAGAGGTGGGGACCAAAAGATAGCCTCTGGATAGAGAGGAGACAGATGTGAGCCATAGGCAAATGGCAGTTTATGAAGGTAAAAGGGGAAACCCCTGTGTTAGGATGGGGTTTTTAATTTTAACCAGGCATGTTAATTAGGTGAACCAAAGGGGGCTGTGTAGCTCAAATGTTAAATGGTCTGTAAATAAAAAACAGTGGGTCCAGATATTGGGGTAAATGCTGAAAGATCAGAGGGACAAAGGAACAAGGTACCTCCAGGACTCCTAAGCCTGAAAAGCCTCTAGCTGAAAGGGTCGCTTTTGCCGAAAATCTTTAGTTCCTGTCTCCTCATGCCTTATATACCTTTCTCTGCCCAGCCATCACTTCCTGGGATTAAAGGCGTGTGTGCTTTCCAGTACTGGGATTAAAGGTGTGTGCCACCCCTGCCTGGCTCTGTTTTCTCTCCTAGACTGAGTCAGTCTCATGTAGTCCAGGGTGGCCTTGAACTCAAAGAGATACAGACAGATCTCCGCCTCCCGAGTTGCTAGGATTACAGGTGTGTGCCACCACTGCCTGGCCTCTATGTTTAATCTAGTGGCTTGTTCTGTTCTCTGATCTTCAGGCAAATTTTATTAGGGTACACAATATATCACCACAGACTTTGATTGCTGGACTTAAATACTTTGATAACTGAACCTCGGAGGCCAGCCTCAGGAGGAGGAAGTGGCCAAATAAGGGAATAGATGTTGGTGGCTAGCTATTGGAATGTAATCCAATGGTTTTTTATCAAGGCAGAGGGCATGGAGGAGAAGGGCAAGGCCTGCCAGAGCCACGTTTGCCATGCTCCGGCTGGCTAGAGTCCCTTCATGTTCTGTTTTCCCTGGCACCAAATATAATATCAATGTTATGGAATACTGTAAAATTAAATAACTGAATACTTTTTCTTTAGCATTAAATACTATTCTGTGAGAGTGGGCTGCACATCCAGACTTGACAGAATGAGTCCCAAGGGTAAGCACCATGAAGCTGTTCATGGACACAGTGAGGCAAAGCAGCATGGGAACCGGTGTGTGGGAACCCTGTGAGTGGACAGCGCTTTCGGAACAGCAGTGCAGAAGACCCCTGATGACCAGGGTAGGACCAGATCATGAGAGTCCTTCAAAGGCGACAGGTGGGTTCCACTGTCTCCTTGTTAATTTTACTCTCCTAATTTTAAAAAGACTATAATTAATTTTAAACCACAAATAAAGAGCTAGGAATGAATGCAGCTCAGTGGTAAGAGACCTTGCCTGTCATGACAGGACCTTGGGATATTGAAAAGAATAATAATAACTTTAAGTCACAAGAAAGTCTGCACCCCACTCAAACCATTCATGTTTAAACGTCGCACAGCCGACCGCCAGGGATTTAAAACACATGGCTTCTGTCAAGTTAATGCTTTGGAACATTCAAATGTTATTTTAGACACAGTATTGCCACCCAGGGAGCGTAACTTCTGGGTGTGACTATGCCAAATCTAATCTGGACTCTCCCTGATGATGGTGTTAGACTTGCTGGCTCTTTTGAACCTCGAGAGCACCTATTTTTTTTCCCCCTCAGCAAGAAATAGAGTAATGGGGCCAGGTGGTGGTGGCGCACACCTTTTGTCCCAGCACTCGGGAGGCAGAGGCAGGTGGATCTCTGTGAGTTCAAGGCCAGCCTGGTCTACAGAGTGAGACAGGCACCAAAACTACACAGAGAAACCCTGTCTCAAAAAAACAAACAAAAAAAGAAAAAAGAAAGGAAATAAAGTAATGGATCACTCACTCAGCAGCTAAGAGTCCCTGCTGTTCTTGAAATAGGCCAGAGTTTGGTTCCCCATACCCATGTTGAGCAGTTCACAACCACTTGTAACTCTGTGTCTCGGGGATCCTACACATGTACACACACAGGCATACACACAAGTTAAAGACAAAACAAAACAAAAAAGAATGGGAGTAACTATGATAATGTAATATGCTGCCATTGTTTTGTTCCATAAATCAATAAGGAATTGAATTTCTCCTGAAAAGATAAAAATGAAATCAAATGGTTGATGTAAAAATATTGTTTACATCTTATATATATATATGCAAACTAACCACTGACATGATAAGAAAAGCTCATGAAGTTAGCCTCACTCAACTGCTCATCAAGGTAGAGTCTATTCTTCTCTAGTGACTGATGATTCTCTGAAGCTGAAAAATCCAGGAAGCAACATGGTGCCAAGCTCTGTTGGTTCTTGTGAGGATGTCAGCGAGAATTAGGCAGGAATGAGTAGAATAGAGTCAACAAAACTAGTGTTGCGGGAAAGGGGAGGTTTCACTTTGTGGGTTTCTCTTTCCAATATAAGTTTTGGCTCAGCATGACAGCCAGCCTTGCTGGGTGGCAGTTCTTGGGTTCTCTAGACTAGATCAAGTCCACCTTTCCAGAGTGCTCCTGTGGACCGCCCAGATCACAATGCCACCTGCACGTCAGTCTGGCATTCAGAGGGCTGGGGAGAGAACTCAGTTGGCAGAGTGGTTGCCAAGCAGCTTTACCCACCAGCTCATTTGTTCTTTTCTCAGTACCTAAGAGAGTCCACAAGTTCTTCAAGGACACAGCACCCCTACTTTCCATAACAGGCTTGGCCCATGAGAGGTCCCTAGTAAATAGTAAGCAATGTGTGAATAGAGTAGTTCTGGAAATCTAAGGCTGTCTGCCAGGAGAAATTCAGAAAACATACAACAACAACAAAAATCCAACACTGAATTGTAAGCTCATAAAGGCAGATACTAAGCCTCTTTGAAGAGTCTGGCAAAATGATGAATAAATATTAGAGTGAGCTAGCCAAGAGTTCTTCTAGTTGGGGGTATAGGACTATTAGGTTTAAAATGTATGTATTGCCAGGTATGAGGTCTCAGGCCTATAATCCTAGAATTTGAGAGACTAAGGCAGAAGGATCACAACAACACCCACTGAGTTACTTAATAATTCTCAGTCCCAAAGAAAACCCAAAAAGAGGAAGGGGCAGAAAGGAGAACAGGAGGGAGGAGGGAATTGGGGGGAAGTCTGTTATGCAGAGTTTGGCTTCCCAAGTATCAGAGGAGGTCATGCTGTGGCAGCAGAGGGGTTGATGTGTGTGTAGGGGCAGTTCATCTCAAGCCTGTCCACAGAATAGCATCTACCCAGGGTGCTTTCCAAAGCCTTGGTTCTTGGGGCTGCAGAGCTGGCCCAGTTATTAAGAACAATTGTTGTTGTTACAAGGGACCTGGATTTGATTCTCAGCACCCACATGGAGGCTCACCTCCTCCTCGGGCACTAGGTATAGATGTGGTGGACAGACGTATGTGCAGGCAGGCAAAACACTCAAACAAATAAATAATAAAAATAAATCTAAAAGAAAAAAATTTTAATTTAAAAACCGTGGTTCTCTATCCACATCCCCAGACCAGTTAAGCCAGATTCTCTGTAGGTGACATTAACGGGCAGCCAGCGCAGGGCACGGTGAAGCCGCTAAATCAGGAGAGTGCGCAAGCAAACAGCCGCTTCACTTTGCTTTAGTCTAAGTTCTAGGGCTACTGGCAGAGGAGACTCAATGCTCTTCCTCTCCAGCCACCTTCTTTCAGAGTAATCATGAAAGAGCACCCCTCCACAACGCTCCAGTAGAATTGGGTGGAAATGTGTAGTATGTTGCCCTCTAATGTAGAACAGATGAGCCATATGGGAGCCCTCGATGAGTAGCTACAGTGAGTGAAAGTTTCGATGTTTAGTTCTATGGAAGTTTGTCTCATAACGGAGAGCACAGCTCACTAATCAGCAATGACTAAATAATACATAGTTGCAGAAGCAACTTCCCTACCTGTTACTTCGAGAACAGTTCCCAAACGTCTTCTTGTCTAGATCAAGGAGAACTGGGGCAACAGATCCAGCTGGAATTTTCACTGGAATTTGTGCGGTGTGAACTTTGAACAGATACAGCTGAGGAACGGACCAACAAGTAAGGGACATTGATCCCTAGAGTCCGATGTAGTGAGAGCTTCGTGGACCGTTCCTCATCCATAAGGTGGCCTGATGCCCTGGAGTCTTTTTTACCGTTCAGAATGAACAGGGACTTTAAAATCTAAGGTATTCTGACAATAAAATGTCATTAGGTAGTTGGTATAAAATACGTTTTGATCACCAATGCTGCAGAAAATGGACAGTGTCAGCAGAGCTAGTGTGTGTCAGGATTGAGAGTGATGACTGATGGCCGCTTTATTTTCAGATCGCCACTTCACTCTTTAGAACAGCCTGAACCTCCAAGATCACCCTCTTGTTGCTGACATTCCAACTTGCTCTGCCGAGATAAGATCCTTACAGTACCTTCTGGTGTGGTGTAAACGCAATTAAACGACATTTGTGCTCTGGGTGTGTGAAAGGGGTGATTTTTTAGGCGTCCTCTGATTTGCAAAGCTATTCTGTATGGTCTTGTAGAAGAAGAAAAAAAACATACTTCGATACATCACTTCCACTGTCGAGCAGGGACATTTAATTTAGGAAATAGAGATATGTTGCTTTAATGGTTTTAACATTGAAATCATCAATTCAGGCTGAAGAGATAGTTCAGTCAGTAAAGGCTTTGCCGTGTAAGCACAAGGACCTGACTTGACTCCCTAGAACGCACAGAAAAAAGGCCAGGCATGGGAGTGAATGATTGTAAGCCCAGCACCGGGGGGCAGGGAAAGTCTCTGAAGGTCCCAGCCAGCCGTGCTGGCCTAACAGGTAAACCTCAGGCCAATAAGAAACCCTATGTCAAAGGAAGGGACACCCAAGGTTGCTGTCTGGCCTCTGATGCACACATGTGGGTGTGTGCCTTAGCTCACATGAACATGAGACATACACACACATGCACATAGATCCTTTTATTTAAAAAAAAAAAAAAAAGCACAGAGGGCTGGTCAGATGCCTTGGGAATAAAGGCATTTGCTGCATAAGCCTGGAGACCTGAGTTCAATCCTCAGAACCCACATAAAGGTGGAAAGAGAGAACCAACTCCACAATGTTGACCCTTGACCTCTGTATTCATGACATGGCACACCAGCACCAACACATATCAGGCAAGCACACACACACACACACACACACACACACACACACACACCAAACAGAAGTGCAATTTTAAAAGAAACGTATTCCAGAGACCACAGCTATTACTTCTGTAACAGCTCTTAGGGCCAGCAGATCTGCAAGGAAAGCGCACTAGCTGTCATCAAGCGTTCCCAGACTCAATCTTTTTCTACGATAATTCCACTAATGAATGTCAAGTTTAACTCGTGCTAACTAAAGAGATAGTTATCTGATTGATACTAGCTAAGAGGAACATTAAAAAGAGTAACCAGGGCTGGAGAGATGGCTCAGCAGTTAGGAGCACTTGCTGCTCTTCCAGAGAACCTGGGTTCAATTCCCAGCATGACAGCTCACAACTATCTGTAACTCCAGTGCAAGGAGATCTGATTCCTCATCTGGTCTCAAAGGGCACCAGGCACACACGGTACACAGACATGTATGCAGGCAAAACACTCATACACAAAAAAAAATGAAATAAAAGAAAAAATGTTAAAGTGATAAACAGAGAGAAACCTTGTGAATACCTATACCACGCAGTGTCTTTGTGTTGACTGGTTTATCTCTTTCAACTCTAGGTGAGCATCATCACTATCTAAAACTGTGTTCTCTTGTCTAGTGTTGTTTCACTTTTATTTTTTGAGACAACATCTCACTGTATATTGGAGGCTGTCTGTGGATGGTGCTGCATCAGCTCCTCAAGTTCTAGAATCACAGGGATGTCTCCCTATACCAGGCATCTTTGAAGGTTTGCTAAGAGACAACAACTTCAGTGAAAAAACAACAACACCATTTTAAGTCTCTACATTTAGGCTTAATTCTTTCACACATCATTATAGGAGCTTAATATGTAATATACAAACACTGAAACCCCTGTTACCTGATTCAAAATAGTTCATCATGTATTCGGTGCCTCTCAGTGGAACACAGATGAGTTTTAAAGCAAAATATACATGTGTATTCCATCAGTATCTTAATTTCATCTTGGAAAATGTCAGGCCTGGGTAAAGGATGACATTTTATTCCTCTTTATCCACCTTCCTGCTATACATGTCTTTAACTACGCTGGATTTCAAGGTATGACTAAGAACACATATATATGAAGTACAAGTCTGTGCTCTGCATGGCATTTCCTTCACCACATGATACCTGACAGATGATGCTCCAGCATCTGCTTTAGCATCTAACCAGAGACCTCATGTTCTTGGTGCTAAGAACTCTCTCACTCCAGAAGTGAGTGCTAAGACTGAGTCAAGCTCTGTACTCTTATATGTTAGACTTACTGATGAAGCTACAATGAAAATGTAGATTTTATATTCAATAATGTAGAGCCTTGGCTCAGCACCTGGCACATCATCCATATCATACTAGAATTGTCGACTGTGGGCTCTATGGTCATGAGGGTTAGGGCAATGTACTTCATATACTTGCAGAAGGCATTGCTGTTACTCAGTGGGATCATTAAGGAACATTCTACTTAGACACAGGAGAGAAAACTCAGGAAGCCCTGGCATCAATACTTTTTGCTTGATTGAGAACAACTACTATAACTTAACAGTACACTGATTGAAAAATCAAATTACTCCACAAAATGATATATTCAAGACAAAAAAAACCCTATACAAACAGTGAACTCTTTCTTTGTGGAAAACCAATAAACAAGGTGTCTTAGTTAAGGTTTCTATTGCTGTGAAGAGACACCATGACCATGGCATTTCTTATAAAGAAAAACATTTAATTGGGGTGGCTTGCTTACAGTTTCAGAGGTTCGGTCCATTATCATCATGGTGGGACATGGTGGTGTGCAGGCAGACATGGTGCTGGAGAAGGAGCTGAGAGTCCTACATCTTGCAGGCAACAGGAAACGGTCTTGAGCATAGGAAACCTCAAAGCCCACCTCACAGTAACACACTTCCTCCAACAAGGCCACACCTACTCCAACAAAGGAACCCTTCCTAATAGTGCCACTCCCTTTGGGGGCCATTTTCTTTCAAACTACCACACAAGGATGCAAACATTTTCTGTGGGCCATGTGCTGTGATGGACAAATTGGTCAAGGGTGGAGGTAGCCGAGGGGAGTGAAGGAGCACTATTGGAGAAGACAGTAGTGGGCACGTGGGAAATCTTTGTGCCGAGGCACTAGCCTAGCTCTACTTTTACTGAATACATGTTGGCTTTCCCAGGTTCACCACTGCACTGCCAAGCTGGGCTAGACCTTTGCAGTGTGGGAAACGAATTACAGGAGAAGGCTGAAGCAGCTGAGTTTAAAGGCTGTGAATAAACTTCGTAACTACGGCTGCAAGGAACAATGGGGAAACTGAGGGCACACTGTGAAGATCACTAGGCATCTTTGGTGAAGACCTGGGGTACATAAAGAGCAAGATGAACAAGGCTAGCCAAGCAGCAGCTCGAAGTCAAAGCGAACTTCTTCCCTGGCTAGGGAGGGTGAACACAGGGTGGTCTGAAGTAGAGGAAAAGGGTTACATTCCATACAGAGCAGACAGCTACAAGAAAGAGCCCGAACGGGGATATATGCTGTGCTCGAATGTGGGGAGTTATTTAGAAACTGGGCTCTGGACTCCTGGCAATTGTTTGCTTTTAGAATTTTCATCACCAATATAGAGAACCCTTATTGCACACCGGTTCTGGATAAAGGGAGAAAATGTCAGAGCATAGAGTTATGCTATCAGGCAGTTGCTCAAAATTTTGGAAGGTACCGACTTAATGGGAACAGTCTTGAAAGAAATAAATCAAGGAGCTCCTAAGGGTCCCTCCCATGACTGAGTCCAGTGCTTGACAAAGAAGGATTAGGTTTGCATTGGTTTTGAGAAAGGACATCAGAAAAGTGCTGGACTGGGAAGGTCAGTCCCTTATTTCCTAAGGGAGACAGTGGTAAAAACAAACATAAACAGACTAAAAAGAACTTCCCATGAGCTCTGGAAACTAGTCCAAGATCTGCAATGACCAGGTAAGTGTGCAGTCAAGAAAGGACCCGTGAGAGGTAGGTTACCCATGTCTAGTGCGCCCCAACCCAGAACAAACAGGTGGTACTGAAGAAAGAAGGTGAAGGTATGAGAGGACATAGTGGAGAGATCCAGGGAGAGTTGGAGAGAGCATGGGGAGAGGAGGGGTGCAATATGCTCAAAATACATTGTATGCAAATGCAAAATTCTCAAAGAGTACATAGGAAGATGTTTTATTTTAAAAGGAAAAGATGATGTTCAAGGTATCGGGGAAGTCCATGCCACTTTTGCATTACCTTCCATCACTGAGGCCTGGGGTGTGCAGGAGTGAGTGTCCCAAGTGCTAGCTCCTGTCTCAGGCTGCAAATGGGTCCAAAAATATTTGGAACGTTCAACGTGTTGAGGGCTTCCAGCGGAACTGACTTCCACCCTCTCTAACCCGAAACTGTGGGGTCTCAGCTAAGTGAAGACATAAAGGCAGCAGTGTCTGTCAGGGACCCCAGAGAAGAAAGAGGAGCTCACTTGTGACATCCAGAGAGGAAATTACAGCCATAGGGATGGTGCAGAACATGGAAGGTCCCAAAGCGGCTGGAGCCAGACACTGTGAGAGCTTAACCAGGAAGTGTATGCCAGGGAAATTCAAGAGCAGGTGAGTGCACAGGGAGCCATCGCATTCCTACAAGAGACCTGGAAGGACCTTCGGCTTTCACAGCAGGCTAAGCTTAAAACACAAGTTTTTTTTTTTTTCTTTTGTTTTTTGTTTTGTTTTGTTTTGTTTTGTTTGGGGTTTTTATTGTTGTTGTTTGAGACAGGGTTTCTCTGTGTAGCCCTGTCTGTCCTGGAACTCACTCTGTAGACCAGGCTGGCCTAGAACTCAGATCTGCCTGCGTCTGAGTGTTGGGATTAAAGGCATGTTCCACCACCTGGTAAAACCCAAGATTTCACTACAGGATGTAAAGACTGGGAAAGGGTCTGCTTTCACACATGCCAATTAGGGGTTTGGTTTGGTTTGGTTTGGTTTGAGGTTTTTTTTTGTTTGTTTGTTTGTTTTACATGCATACATGTGTGCACTTGTACATGCATTTGTGTGTGTGCATGCACACATATGTATGTGTATACTTAAATGCACATGTATACACATGCAATTAGAGATCAGAGATCAACCTCAGGTGTCATTTTTCAGGCTCTATCCACCTTGTTTTGGGGGACAGAGTCTCTCATGGACTTGACCAAGTAGGCAAGTTGAACAATGAGCCTCAAGGATCTGCCTATTTCTTCCTCTCTGGTGCTGAAATTACAGAGTACAGGCACACGCCACCATATCCAGCTTTCTTTACT